TTCTTTGATCTTGTCCAGTGTTTCTGTAGAGATCCATTCCGTATGACGGTATTTCTTTAGACCCAGAACCTCTTGACACGTTGAAGTTAATGCTTCCTTGATGCCTTTCCAGTTGTTTTCCATACTAGTCTCTTCTTGCTTCCGTAGCTCTTTTAAGGCTTGGAACCTGTTGTTGAGAGCTATCTTGAATTCATTGAGTTTCTCAGTAACTCGAAGGAAGTCTGTATTGAACCTTTGTAGTGCTGTTTATCCATTTGTCCAGTTCTTTTTTAGCTTCAGTTTTAAATTGGCCACAACTAGGTGGTGATCTGAAGCTACGTCAGCACCTCTCCTGGTTCTCACATCTTCCATTGTCCTTCTGAATTTTTTGTTGATGCAAATATGATCTATTTGGTTCTCTGTAGTGTGGTGCGGTGAGATCCATGTAGCCTTGTGTATACGCTTGTGTGGAAATATTGTGCCTCCTATGACCAATTTGTTGAATGCACATAGATTTGCAAATCTTTCTCCATTTTCGTTTCTTTCTCCCAGTCCATGACGTCCTATATTATCTTCATATCCAGTGTTGTCTATTCCCACTTTGGCATTTAGATCTCTCATCAGAATAGTTAGGTCCTTTCTTGGGCATTTCTCAATGATTGACTGCAGCCGTTCGTAGAACTGACCATTGATGTCGTCGTTGCTATCATTTGTGGGTGCATAACATTGGATTATATTCATTAAGATCCCCTCCTTCTTTGTTTTGAATGATGCTTTGATGATTCTGGATCCGTGAGACTCTCATCCTACAAGTGCAATTCGTGCTAATTTGGACAGCATAAGAGCGACTCCCTGAGTGTGTGGAGCATTGTCCTCTTCGTGACCGGAGTATAGCAGCATCTCTCCCGTAGCTAGCCTTTTCTGTCCAGCTTGGGTCCATTGGGTTTCGCTGATTCCCAGTACTGCTAAGTTGTACCTCCTCATTTCCATTGCTATTTGACTGGTCTTCCCGGTTTCACACATTGTTCGAACGTTCCATGTACCTATAAAAAATTTTGCTCTAGTGTTAGAAGGGGCATCGGCCTCGTGTCTTCCGAAGGAACTCGGCTTTTATCATGAGACGTTATAACTCTTCTAAATGAAGATCTTCTAACTGCCAGGGCAGAGTTTAAATGGTTTGAATTATTTTTTTCTAGTTTGCGTTTTTTAGCGAGTTAGTTTTCGACAGGATTGGGTCGCTAACCCTATGCTCAACCCTCTTCTTTACACGGCCTTGGGACCGGCAGTAACCCTATAAGAGCTACAGGCGGAGTTTTCTGCCCATTAGGATAATACAAATACATGATTCTAATTATTAATAGTATGATGATATATAATTGACATTGGTTACTTTATAACAGCAGAAGACAGAAAGGTATAAGCAAAGATTTATTGATAAAGCTGGACTGAATTATTTGAAAGTGTAATAAATGTCGATTAAATATACTGATGTGATTAGTTTACAAGTAAATGATAAATGTCACTTAGTATGAAAGACAGCAACATAAAAAGAAAACATTTTTGGTGGATCAGTTTACATGTGTAACTCCGTCTGGAACCCGCTGAAGCTTCTGCTAGTCCTAAGGCCGAGCAATGGAGTAGGGTTGGGCATGTGGTTAGCAACCCCATTCGTAGAAAACAAACTCGTTGTTTATATGTAGGTCTTACGACTACAGAAATGAAAGGGCGGGAATACTAAATAAGGCGTAGAAATAACAATAAGAAAATTCTGGGACAATTCAGTGAGCAGATGAATCAAAATCTATTAAAAAATGAACTACTGATAATGAGTTATGTAAAATCGAAAAGCCTGATTCCTATCTCTACATAAGAATAATGAATTAGGAATCTGTATGTTAAAATTGAATCATTCTCAAAGTTAC